ATCATTCCCAACTGCCCCTAAAATATCAGGCGTCTAATCTGTTCAGTGCACTGTGTGCAACCACTGTTATCTCAATATTACATTATAAATACGACTCGCCTGCGGTCCAACGGATATCAATAAATTAAGTATTACGTGGAGTTTAACCGGTGATAAAACATACAGTACTATATCCCCCATTAATACTGTTACTGTTACATGTATGTGTTATGAGCAGCGGTACACAAGGTAGTCGTTTAGCCTTGCACTCTAGTGTGGATTCGAATCGCAACATGGTGTAAATTTTCTTGATAAACGCTTATTCATCACTTGCCCAAGCAATTTATCCCCACTGCACCTCTGTGAAGCCAAGTGAAAGACAGTCAACAAATCAATAAATGGCCTGCGAGCAATATGAATGATATGACGCTCTGGTGTGGTCATATCTGAACATGTGAAAATAATGGCCAAGCCGTTTAATGAGCCGTTTTGCAACTGCCATCTGCCTTCATTCACCAGATGGCAGAAAAAAAAATCAACGCAAGAAGTAACTCTTAAACTTGAATTGAAATGTCACAAAAAAATCATCGCACAGCACTCAATTCAACTGTAGAAAAATCGCCTATTGTAAACAGCCTACTGCGTGTTATTGTGAATCGACACACGAAGCAAATTTCAGGCATCAACTAAAGTTGCTGTTCTTGCTGTGATCGTCATCTGGGACATCAGGGTCAAGGACAGAGTACCCAAATTAAGGAGAATGCTCTGGCTTCTCAGAATGATTTAGGATATGTTGGTTGCTGCGGCAAAGATCATGTCCCTCGTTCGAAGCAAGTTCATGCCTTCATTAACGTAGAACGCCCAAAACGCTGACATCGCAGAACACTACTAGGTTACACGGATTACACTACCTTCTTCTGAATTTCTCTTAGGGATTTTTGAAATGGCCAGTTCTAGTCATTTTGTCTGCCAGCCTTTAGGATCATGTCTTTTTTTAGGGTGGGTATTGCTAATTATGGAAAACAATATGCAAAAATCTTATATTATCTTCAATATTCAAAAGGGCACTGAATATTCGTTACCTGTTCTCTGTTATTTCGGAAAAACACATAACATATCTGTCATTACATGACAAAAAAGACATCCTAAAAGCACTGGCAAAATTTGGCCAGTTTAAAAAAGGCGATACTCAGCGAAATCAATCGAATTCCAAATAAATATTAAAAACCATAAAAATAAACACTCGAGACAGACACAAATAGTCAAACAGTGAGATAAAAACAGCCTAGCAATCATCGTGTCTTACGTAGGTCGTTAGATAGATAATAAAGAGACGATGCCGACTTACCGGCTCGTGAACAACATCAGATACGAAATGGAAGAAAATATATGATAGATGGAAATGAAATAAAAACTGGAGCGTAAAAAAACAAACCTATCGAACACGACGTGAAAGAAGAACAGGTCGCACAGTTAGAAAACATTAAATGGTTATAACGAGAACAGAACTACAAGACGGAAAATAGAAGCTGTCCTCACGCAAGCATGTATGTGCCTGTACATCCATAAGAGAGCAGATCTACAATTAGTCTCAGCATTCATAAGACAATCAAATTACGTTTGAATCTGTCAGCCAAAACAATACATGGTGTACGCCGTTAAACTCTGTAATACTCGCCTACTTTTTACTGTTTTATTATGTGGTAAAACTCAGAGGATAGATCCAGTGTAATCCGGAGAGTCGGGCAACTTCAATATAACATTCAGGTGTGGAGTAAACCTTTTGAAGACCAACGAGATGAAAAGCACCCGCGCTACATTTTTTCCTCTTTCATGCAACAGAGTTAATCATTCTGGTTCCATTCTCATAATGCGTCTTAACACTCAAAAAGAATTCAAAAGCGAATTCCAACAGTTTTGCCAAAAGTATTGACAAGTAGCACTATCACATCACATTCCTGCGAAGGTTTCAGTATTTATTCGATATACGCAAACAGTAGAATATATATACCTCTGAATCCCCAGATAAGGCCTGATAAAGACCACTGTCTAATCGAGGAACACTACACATGGAAAGAGATTCCATTCTACATTTTTTAATCAAAAATTTAGTGCAATGCCAACAACTCCATTTTGTTATCTGTACTTTAAAGCATCGCTTGAAGGATTTAAATGCTTCCTATTAATTCGCGTAATTTTTGAAGGAACCCAATAAAAATGAATTATTTTTCAAATCCCAAGAATTAATTAGACAGTTGCTTCAATGATGCATGGTTCAGGGCACCAAATACAACAAATGGTACAGTCTGATGCCAATGCGTTTCACTGCATGGACTGCAACATCTTCAGAGCTGGACTGAGTACAAATGACTGCTTGAGGACCTTTATGTCCAACAAGCGAACATTGCCAATTTTTCAATTCGTTTATCATAGAGTCAAAGTTGTTATAAAGGCTGAACAAAGTATAACGTTACATCAAAATAAATCGAATCTTTGTTATTTTGACCTGATTTTGCACATTAATTTCGTGATTGCGCCCAAACCAGCTTTCCTTGATAGCACTAGAAAATGCCAATTCGTTGCACATCCGGTTTTTCGTTGTCAATATATGCAAGGACTCCTTTATCAACAAACCAAATTTAGACTGGTTTTTGTCTATAAGAGACACATCGGTCTGACTAAAAGACTGCCCTCTAGTAATCGCATGCTGGGCAATACCGGTATAAAGATATCAGACTGCCAAACAGCTGGATCGATTACTGAAACCTGCTGCTATGGGTGACAGGGAACAGGGTAATCAAGATTGTTCCACGGCTTCGCTAGACGTTTCTGCTCTCTTTAGTAATGTGAATACTAACACGCTGGATAATGTTCTACCCGACATTTTGAAGAACACGACAGACGAGTGAAGGGCATCCGAGAGAGTGCTCAGAAATTGCAGTGTGGATCATTTAACTGCGACCAATATTTTCGTACGGTGTTCCGCTGGACACCCCAGTAACTGTGGTTATAGCTGATCTTTACATGGAACACCTGGATATTAAAACTCTTACTGCATACCTGCCAGAACTTCGACCACTTTTCTATGGTCGATGTTGATGATATTTTCTTATTATTTCAACGAAATGATGATGAACTGAAAAGGTTTGAATGAAGGTGAATTACATGAATGAAAAGTTAACCAATGTATATCGTTTCTGGATGTGCTGGTGAAAAGGAGGCCGCCGTCTGAATGTAAAATTTCCGTATATCGTAAACCAACACACTCCAATCGATACCTACACTGGCGTCATGTGTCCTTTCTAGATTACTAAGGAAAGTGGTGAAAACATGCGTATCTGAGCTCAGGAAACTTGAATTAATTTTTCTGGCCTAGACGCAGAAATTCAACATCTTCAGCAAGCGTTTCTAAAAAACGATTGCCAAAGGAGAATCCTTGACGAAAAAGTTTTGTACCCCAGCTAAAACACTTAGAGTTTGCCAGTTCATAGAGACCAGATGATAATTTTACCGTTCACACCCCAGCCATTTCAAAGTATCACGATGCACCTTAATGATATGGAACTCTGGGACTACTACTAAAGTGGCAGAACATCGGGCGACATCATATTTAAAGGTACTTGCCAATTAATAGCCCTGAAGATGCGTCAAACGTTGTATTCAAAGTTCAGTGCAGAGACTGTGACAAGGTGTGCATTGCAAAGACCAACCGAAATTCGAACATAAAGATAAAAGAGCATCTTTCTGCCGTCTGGCTTGAACCGGCTGACAATTCCTGTATTGCCCAACATACGATTACTGAAGACTATTGTTTCAATCAGACCAATGTGTTTGTCACAGCCAAAGACCAATCAAAATTAGGTTTGCTGATAATGGAGTCCTTGCATAAACTGGCAATGAAAAACCGGATGTGTAAAGAAAATGCGTCTTCTGTTGTTATCAGAGAAAACAGGGGCACAATCACAACCTTGATATGCAAAATCGGGTCTAAACGACAAAGATACGATCAATTCTGATGTGAACATTATACTTTGTTCCGACAGTGTAACAACATCTTGACTGCATGTGATGGGCCAAAGGAAAACTGGTATTGTTCGCTTGCTGGATATAAATGTCTTAAAGCAGCCAGTAGCACTCAGTCCATCCCTGAAGATGCGTTGGCAGTAAACGATCAACCATGTGCTGTATCTGAAGCCCTCAACCATGAATCATTAAAACAACTATGTGTATAACTATGGGTATATAACAACCAAACTATTAAGTATATGTATAATAACCCTGAAGTATTATTTCATGAATGAAATAGCGACCTTACATAAAATTTAGAAATACGCATTAACAGTTTTGGATCCTAAATATTACTTTCTCCCATCAGTAATCTAGATTGAAGTCTCATAAACACAAGTTGTAAAATATGTAAATGCAATCTGTTCTTTACAAAAAAACTGATTCTAAGTCACAACACTTAATGCAATACTTTTTTAAATTATTTTCGTAATTATTACATCCCTTCATCAACACAGGCAAACCATATTTTTTCAGGCAATCATCATTTTTTAATTCAAGCAACTTTAAACGCAAGCTCTAACGATTTTGGAACACAGTCTGACTTTACGAAAAATCATCCCATTATTCTGAAGTAGGCTTCATGAGTGGAGTTTTCGATATCGCCGATGATACATTGCTACCGTACTTAAACGGCAAAAATAGAGTATAAAGAAAGAAAATTTATTTCTTAACATACATCGATACTGCAGAGGTGTATAACAGGCGACTAGAAGAAAGGGAGCGGTGCAATACTGCGGCAATTCATAGTGTAAGATATTACTCTGACACCACCGTAGCATCGGTGTAAAGCAACAAATGAAATTTTCTTTCTTTACACTACGCTTTCACCAATTTCAACCCGGTATCTATATATTTTAAATATAGCCTGATTTTGTTCTTGCATTTGCTTACGTTATCATTGCTTTCCTATCTTGACTAAATCGGGTGACAAGACTGCAGTAATACGAGGTTTATCAGAAAACGCATTTCGTAAATATATCAATTAAATTTTGCTTCACCTTTTTCAGAACTGCTTCCGCCAAATCATAGAACGCCTTGTCAATATTCACGTTCGCCTTTGCACTGGTTTCCAGAAACTTGATACAATGTTCCTTCGCGATCTGTTCGCCGCGTTCCTTGCTAACCATTCGCTTATCTCCCATGTCACATTTGTTTCCCAACAACATTTTCTCTACGTCCTCGCTAGCATGCTAAATAATACACACAATTACATGTAAATTTCACGTACAGTCATATACGCCGACATGTTACTTCATCGATATTTCTGAGCCATTTGGCTATGTTGTCGAAGGATCGCGGGTTCGTAATATCGTACACAAGCATTATACCCATAGCACCTCGATAGTAGGATGTAGTTATAGTGTGAAACCGTTCCTGTCCAGCTGTGTCCCTAAAGTACCTTCGAGTAGTTTAACGATACTCTACCACAGTAGTCTTACCAAATCTGTAATTTGATCTTCTTGCCATTTAATTCTATGGTTTTTATTTTAAAATCAATTCCTAGAAAAAGAATATATAACAGAAATGTAGTAGCAGGTAAAAGTTAAAAAACATTCTAGCTGCTTAAAATTACACGTAAACTAGCATAACTGCAGAAATATTATGGAAGATATAACATTTAAGAAAGACAAACCTCACGTTGCCTGTTCAATGGTTCTAGGCAACGAAACAGATGCATGGTAGTCTATATTTTAACCACTGAAATTTCAACCAAGCTACATTGACCATCCACAGGGCAAGCAATCTACTGGCTTACTCGTTGACTGGGTCATCAAGGGCCGGAAAGACTGTCGGGTAACTGAGCCAGGTGCGAAAAGTCGGCGTTAAACGATTTTTCACGCCGTCCGGTAGCTGGGGGCGTATCAGCATGACAACGAAGATACCAACCAACGACGGAACAGCAACCCGGCTTGAACAAAGGAAGCAGACAGTGCGATGCCATTATAGCAAGTCAGAGAAGGAGGTTTCCCGGAAACGATACCGACAGTGGGACCTGACAGTCGGAAAGAGGAAAATCTCCTCATTCGAAGGGGAAGAGCAGGAGCTAGCTGATGATGCCGCAAGGTATTCAGTGGACATAGTTCGACTTAAATGGTCATGGTGTAAGAGAATGGGCAGCATCGTTCTGCGCAATTACAGCAAACTGACTTAAACAAAGCTGAGTCTGAAGATGAAGCTCTCCGTGATCGATCTTCATCCCGATGCTCGTGAACGGTGATGGGTCGTGGAGGCATGACTGCAACCGGGGTACAAGCAGCTGAAATACGCTTTCGTAACTGGATATTATTCGGAGTACAGATATCCAGGAGAGGCATAGGGTATAGCCGCTGCTGCTCCAAGCTGAGAAGTGAAAATTGCGAGGCTCAGGGAACTTACTGCGAATGCCTCCAGAAATGAACGGAAAACAGCCACTGCTTGTCTGACCTACTCCTGAAGATCTTTGAAGCGGCCACGAAAAACCCAGGGCAGTTGTATCGAAGGACTCTATTTCATACTAGAGTTACCTTGTGCCGAAACTCAAGTGCTGGCACTGGATCAGGAACGTTGGAGACACTGTCTAACGCGCCTGCCTCCGTGACCCGATAGGAGATTAACGAAACTGACTATGAAAATTCAGAATTTAATTCGAATCACTCGTTATTTCAGTTTGAAGGTACCTAAGAAGTTTGTGATAACACCCTAACATTCGCTAATCTCAGTGAAGATGAGTATTCGCTGTTCATACGATGTTACAAAGTTACAAAAAATATTTACTTAAATTTAATAAAAGCTTGTAGCATTTCGTTTAAAACCAGTGCCTAAATCCCCTGAAAGACACACTCATTTCTTTAGATAAAGTTACCTGTTAAAGCTTGTTCTTTTTGTACAGATGGTAGAAACAGGTTCATGCATGAAAGAGACATTAACGCTTTCAAAGGATTCAAGAAATGGTTCGTCTCAACCAACAATAAGAAATTCAGGCAATGGAGGAGCTAGCGGGCAAACAAACGGTGCCCAACAGCTGTATAAATTTGGTTAAGCAACATGATTAAGGCTCAAAACTCTGGGACATTGCAGCTATA